CAGAAAGCAGTGCTCAGTAAAAGAGCTGAAAATGTCAGCTTGTCAGAGCTGTAATTTCATCCTCTCTGCCAGCTTCCGGGCCACTTGGCATGAGCTGAATACATCGACTGGACCCTGCAGTTATAGACCCTCACATCACAAGACCCCTCTTTCACTTTTTCAAATCGGCTGATGAACTGAGGCCTAACTGTAAGGGAAATCATGCAAACATTTGTGATTATTAATACAACCTAATGCAGTGCCATGCTCTGCTTTGTTGTGTCTGGTTAACTCAGTTGTTCTCATTCATTAAAACTTTTTTCCATGTTCATCCTGTTACAAGCTTTATTCCACTGGAGCGTGCGTCTCCGCTGTGGCATTTCATGCATGGGTGAGATGAGACGCACCTGCACAAAGCTCACTCACTCACGAGTGAATATGGAAAGACTGGTTTCTATCCAAGACAATTAAATCTTTGCTAACCTTGGCAGTGTTTGTAATAGCATACTACCACACTACTAGCCCAAACATTTCTGTCTGTGCAAATGTATGTGTATTTATGCATGGAATACTTGGTTTACCTATTTAATTTGCCAAAACATGCGGTATACAACAAATACGATGTATACTGGATGAGCATATCTGCTCCTAAATTATAATAAATAACAACAAAGCTGATCTAGGATCAGGACTAATGCAGCTACAGCAGCCAACTCCTGAGCAGAGCACTTGCATGTGATTGCCCTACTGCTAAATGGGATGTCAAGTTGTGCTAATGCCTCCTGTGCCAGAGACCTATTGAGGAAGATTAGACCAATCAGACAAAATCCTTTCTAAATGATCCAAGAGTCGAGCTAAAAATAATTACTCGCTCTGGGAAGGAATTGAACTGGGGCTGAACAGGTGTTTATGTTCTACATGGGCAGTTCCCGATTCATAGAAAGGTCATCGGAGACAGCACCGATCTCTGATGCATTTAAAGTGTTATTTACTTTTTTTATAATCAACAGACTGATGTAGTCTTATATTTTAAAGGTGATTTTTTTTAAATGTAATTTCTGCTTGCATGTGGTGATGTTGGACTGACATCTAGTGGTGTGGATGAATCACAAAAGTACAAAGGTTTTCAGTTGCCACTGCCATTGTAGAAATGGTGTATTTGTCACCCTTGATTCATTTATTCCACAAATAAAAGAGAGGCAGGTCATGTGATCTCAACATGGCGGCCACCCTGAGGTGACCCACTTTACATATTACTTTTTGTAGGCTGCTGATATGAGCGTAGTCTTAGAATCGTACATAGTGCATCTTTAAGTTACACTGGGTTGATTTTACAATAACTAATATATACAAATTATTATATTATGCTACATTATATATTAATATATGACATGTTTCTTAAATATTATTGTTCAGCATGCTTTGCTACAGGACAGATTTAAATGTTTTGTGATAAATGAAATTCTGTAGCATTTTATTTATTTATTTTTCCTAAATGTGTGTGACACTGTGGTTATTTATCGTATTAGGCTATTATACTCCCAAAATGAGTTTTCATTAATAAAGGAAAGCATTAACATGAGCTTTTTGCTTCATTTAATGTTAATTTTATTAAATTTGTGTTTTCATTTGAACATCTCTATTGATTTCGTTATGAAAGATGGATCCTAAATGGTTAACTATGCTGAAATTATACAGAGTTAGACTTAGCTTCTGGTTGGCTGATGTCAGACATTGAATGTGTATGAGAAAAAGTGGGTCAGATTCAAAGTAAGATGGGTCCAGACACCAGAATGTATAAGAACCCTGGAGACGAGTAACTGAGCCTGTCCACGGTGCACTTCAGCCTGGGCAACAAATGAGTCTCTGATCAATAGACTTTAAGCAGGACTCTTAAAGCAGAAATCCCTTTCTCCTTCTCTCTCTCACTGTCTCCCTCTTTCAGCATTAGAACGGGTCTCATTTCACTCCATTAACAGAGAAAAAAAACTCTCTGAAATAAGAAACAACACTTCAATTTGAAGGCTAAATTGTGGGCTGAAGGTAGAGATAGAGGTTAATCTGAGACTCTGGAATGTTGAAGTTACAGAATGACTGCTTGGATGTTTCCTTTTACACTAGACATTTTGTTTGACTAAATTAGCCTTAATCTTCGCTATTTATGAAATGTAAAAATCAGTATGAACAGTATGAATAACCAATAATTATTTTTTGTAAAAAAATTCTTATAAAAAGCATGATTCATACAATAGAATCCATTGATCACAGATTCTGTTCTTCTCTGCTTTCAACGTGTCCGTTAAACTAGGTCAAATTAAGGATTTTTTACAAATAAGAAAAAAAAGTGAGGGACAAGGTTCACCACTCATCATAAAACCTGAGAATTATTTTTGTCGTCCCATTAAACCGGAGGGATTCAGTAGGTCACAGGAACTGCAAGTTGTTTAATTTGACAGGAAATAAGAAGAAGGGGGAATATGACACATGAATGAGCACCAAAAACTAAAATAAATTAATAAGA